TTTGTTGTTGTTGTTGATGTAAAATATGAGATATATATATTTGATATATATTGTTGTTGTTGTTGTTTAATATGATATTTGATGTTGTTGTTGATGTAAAATATGAGATATATATATATTTGATATATATTGTTGTTGTTGTTGTTGTTTAATATGATATTTGTTGTTGTTGTTGATGTAAAATATGAGATATATATATTTGATATATATTGTTGTTGTTGTTGTTTAATATGATATTTGTTGTTGTTGTTGATATGAAATATGAGATATAGTGTATATTTGATATAGATTGTTGTTGTTGTTGTTTAATATGATATTTGTTGTTGTTGTTGATTATAAATATGAGATATAGTTTATATTTGATATAGATGGTTTGTTGTTGTTGTTGTTTAATATGACATTTGTTGTTATTGTTGTTGATATTTGTTGTTATTCTGAATTACAGGTATATTATGGCCAGCAACGAGGAAACATCACATGATGGAAAAGAAACACCCAAAGACGTTGAAGGCGAAATTAAAAGAGGCATAACGATAATGAAAAGAATCATCCGTGTGAGAGATAGAGGTGTAAAGTACGATGTCCATTGGAATGAAAGAGATCAGTTGGTTGAGCCTAATGGTGCGCTGCTGACAAGTTATATTGGAGCAGTTGTACGTTCGCAAGTTCCGATTACTTGCGATAACTGGAGAATTCCTGCATTAGAAGCGGCTAAGGATAAAATTTGGACCGAGATTCAAGTATGAGATTTGATCATTTTTAATTATGTTGACAGTTACATCTTTAAATTAATTATACTAACATGTTATATGTATGTGTATTTGTTTGCAGAGATCTTTTAATATTGAGGATTCTAGGAGAAAATATTGTATTCAGTTGGTCGGAAAACGCTTGAGGGGATTTAGAGCGTTTTTAACCAACAAATATCTTAAAGATTCTGATGGCAACTTTGTAGACTCGGAGCGTCCAGCGAAGTACGCTGATTTGATTTCGGATGCAGAATGGGAGACATTTGTTGCAAAGCGAAGAACCAAAGAATTTGAAGTAAGTACAACTTATCATGAACAATGTATAGTATATATACCTATTCCACAAACAAACTGATATGACTTAAACTTGTTTTTTCAAGTTAAGAGTGGCGTAAATCGGGGACGGGCATCAAACCCTGCGTATCCATATAGAAAGGGGCGTTTGGGATATGCACGCTTAGAACAAAAATTAGTAAGTGCATATATATGCTTTAATATGATCTATTTACAAAAAATAGTAAGTATACATAATAGGATATAATGCTTTATTGTTCGTCTTAATGCGTAGTTGGAAGAGGAGAAAAGTGATGCGACATCTCTTCCGGACCATGTCGTATGGAAGGCTGCCCGGGTGGGAAGAGATGGAGGCGTCCAAGAAGAAGTTCAACAAGTGTTTGAACAATGTGTAAGTACAACATTAGTTTTTGAACAAAGTGTTTGAACAAAGTGTATAAAATATTTAAATATGCTTTTATCTATATTTCAGGAGTCCCTATCCCAGACTATAACTCCTGCTGAAGACGATGATTGCAGGAGTTTATTGAGTCGGGTGTTGAATATTCCTGAGTACTCTGGGCGTGTGAGGGGCAAGGGATTTGGTGTCACTCCATCCAAACTGTATAAGCAGCCAAGGAAAAAAAATCCAACCAATAAAGAAGTGATGGCTACTTTGGAGGAAATGAAAGCTCAAATTCGTGAATTACAGAAGGATAAGGAGAGATACATGTCCGAAAGGCGCGCTCCAGAGGCCGGTAAAGCTACTAGTGACAAAGATAGTATCGGTTGTCCGCAGAAGCTTCCAGAGTTAATTGTATATATTACATTGAAATTAATTTAGCACATTTTTCTTAATTGACACATTAACTGATCATTATTTGTTTAGGGCATTTCACCTTGTCGACTATATTTATCGTCGCCGACTTATCGCATGGTTGGCAAGGGAAATGTGCATAACACCCTGAGAGACTTACTTCACCATAAACCCCTCCCTGCTGGATTTTTGAAAGTATCTGTTGATATTGCATTAGAGGGGGGGCGTTGTTGCCTATGCCAGACGATGTATCAGACGCAACAGTGGTGGGAGACGCGATAGGAGCTTATGTAGCATGGCCGGCGAATCTCATTTTCATAGATGATGAGGTAGGTTGAACCTTGTAATATTCCAATGTTTTATTACCCATACATGAAAGTTATTCTGACATTTACACTTTCTTATTGACATGATGATCTTAGACTCCCACAAAATCCAAAACAAAAGATGATAAAATTATTGTGCGGGATACCGATTCAGCTGCATCAAAGTTACAGGTACTAGTACTACAGTTTAAGTGATTATTTTATTATAAATTATTTACTGAACTTATATATGACTTTTAGGTTCTTGATCAGCAGTCGCAACAAGTCAGCAAGGGAAACATGCCTGAAACTTCCAAGGTGCCCAAAAAAAAGGTCGAGACAAAAAGAGCATTTGTTCCTCAATTTAGGATGTGCCTTCAAACATATGTAGGGACAACAGACGTGTCTGAGGGCGGCATCCGTCTAATACATATGGATCAAAGTATTTTCGGTTTTGAATATTCCGAAACACTTGCTAAGGAGGATTTCGACCAGATTTTCAAACATTTAGAATTGGGCGTCGGGGTTATGCATTCCTACATCAGGTACTTCGATCCATTTTAATTAGATAATTGAACATTTTAAAATTCGCTCGTTTAACTGAATAATCTAATGTTGATTATATTTTTTTTAGGCTCTTGTATGACAAGTTGTTGGTCCCCGCTGATTTGACTTCAGTATTCACATTCTTATCTGCTAGTAGTGTCAACTCACGAACAATAGACCAGACACCAGAAGCAGTCAAAGAGTACACAGTCCAGAGATTTATGGGTGCGAATACGGAGAAGTTGTTTATGTTGCCATATAATACTGGCCATGGGTTAATTTTTATTCTAAATTCATTTATTATAATTGTTCGATTTTTGCCATATTATATAACATTTCCGTCTAAACTGTTGTCTTATTTTATAGTGGTCACTGGTTGTTGGTCGCAATTAATCCGATTAAAGAAATAGTGTATTATATAGATTCATTGGATGGCGATACAAACAAATATGAAAATCTAAAGAACATGGTTGATACATAAGTGATGATATATAGTGTTCTGAATAATTATATATGTTTATTTATTATGTGACATTGTTCTAAATATGTGTTTATATTATGTTAGAGTTATACAAATATACAGAGCACAGAGAGATGCAACAGTGCAAAAAAGCAGGGCTAGCAACATCAACTGGATCAGAGTGGAGGTATATTTTCCCATGCTTGACTGTTATAGTGGTTCTACTTATAAAACTATTTAAACTATATATCCTGATAAATGTTCGTTCGCTTTTTTCCTAATACAGTGTCCTCGTCAGCGTGGTGGGATTGACTGCGGATATTTTGTACTGCGCTTTATGAAGGAAATCATTCTTTCTGGTCAATTAGAGATTCCAATCATGGTATGGATCAATTCATAAGTTATATGATTCATTTTGATAATTAACTAATATTTCATCTGAGTAATTAGTATTAAATCGTGCTTGTTTTGTTATATTATGTAGTATTTTGATGAATTCAAATGTGCTACGTACTCGAAAGTAAAATTGGAAGAAATTAAGGAAGAATGGTGTCAATTTATGATTGAGTTAAGAATTCTATAATGTATATTGGATTTGTAATTATGTGTAAATTGTATATTGTATATTGTATATTGTATAATGTATAATGTTTAAATTATGTGTAAATTATACTTGAGTTAATTATGTGTAAATTGCAAAGTGTTATTGTATAATGTACAATGTTTAGTTATATTGTGTTGAATTAAAGGCCAAGTGTTGAATTACAATGTTTAAAGGCCAAGTTATATTTAAGGCCTGAATTATAAGCAGGGAATTTAATTGTTATAAGCAGGTTTGTCTAAAAATATATAAAAAATGTGATTTTTCAAAAAATTTTTTTTTAAAAATGTGAAGTATAGACAACGCTTTTACAAGAAAGCGCTGCTAAAGGGGAAAAATAGGCATAAAAAAGCGCTGCTATAGGTTAGGAAAGGAGGGGTCTAAGAAAGCGCTTTAAAAAAGCGCTGCTAAAGGGTGGTCTACAAAAGCGCTTTCATAAAGCGCTGTTATAGGGGGGGAGGGGGAGGGAGAATAGGCAGCGCTTTGAAAGCGCTGCTAAAGGGGTAAAAAAGCGCTGCTAAAAGTGATGCCTTTAGCAGCGCTTTTTCCACACAAAAAAACGCTGCCTTTACCTTTAGCAGCGCCACTTTAGGCAGCGGTTTAAAGCGCTGCTAAAGGTTAAAAAAAGCGCTGCTAAAGGCCATTTTTGGCATAGTGTCTAACAATATTTACAAAAAAATATATTAATGTACCTATATCTTAATTTTTCTTAAAATGTCGTACTTCGTACCAGTACAATATTCATACTAAATACTAAATATGTACCCATACCTATGCAACGCAGGTGCTGATCTTACAATTCAATCTCTGCCATGTCGAATCAAAAGTTCACTCCACCACATAAGAGCACAAATTCATTCAACCTCCGCCGATTTCTAATTCTTATTCGGACCAAATGCATTTCTCGGGCACATGTAACTTTGTCAACTTAAAAATATAATAAACTCTATTTTTATAAGAAAAAAACAATACTTTTAAGATTAATTTATTCTTAATAAGTTAATTTTATTCAACATAAAAACAAATGGGACCTAGAATCCTTATTTTGAGGAAACAATCGACAGATGAACTAAAGTTTGTTCATTTACAGGGCGTCCTAAGTAAAAAATTAGTTTGCTGACTTTCTTTCACAAAGGCAAATATGAATGCCTTTCCAGCCAAATAATGCCTATTCAATTTACACACCCAACATATAAATATAAGCTTAAATAATTCACATCTTCCTCCACAACTCAAACTTCTTTCACACATGGAAACAGAATCACTACTTCCCAACCCAACCAATGTTCGTGGCATTAAACAATACTTGAGAAGAAGGCACTACAAGTATCTCGAAGGAAGTGGAAAGAAATTGAAAATCATAAGGTTAAAAAGGAGCACACATAAGTTTTGGAGAATCAGAACAATCCCAAAGCTGAGATGGGTGATTAAATCACCTTTGAAAATGTTGACAAATTTTAAGAAAGCTTATATGAATTTTATGTTAAAATCTTTGAGCACTGATGCCATCTTTGGTGGGAAACAGATTCCAAAGGCTTCTCAAGTTTCTGAGGATTATGCTAGTGATGTGTTTCAGGCTATGCTCATATATGAGATTTCCAAGGCCTTGATTGCTTCTCATAAACTATTTCCCATGTAACATGCATGTAATTCTCTTCTTTTTAATACATTTTTCATCTCTATTCTTCTTTGTGTGTGAAATTTTATTTGGTTTTAATACTTAGTATCTTTTAGCAAGTTTGGAGGAAGGTAATGAAGTGTTTTGTAAACGACATGATTATAAACAAAAGTTTATGTATTATTTTAGAGTTTGTGTAGATACTGATATATGAATGTTTTTGATTAAAATATTTTTAATTTTTAAAGTCATAAGACTAATGAAATTGAGAGAGAATTAGAGTGAGCATATGAATTTGGAAAATCATTCTCTTGATTTATGGATAACAAGCAAGGAGATTATACACAAGTGTGAGAAACATCATAAGTTGCATCTAAACATACACATCATAACATAGCTTGTGCAACAAGTTACAACTAACTAAGTTTCTAACCAACTATTTATTAGAGTGTAACTAACTCTTTGATATTAGGAACTTAGAAATTAATTCTTAATTGTCTAAATGAAATCAAAGGAATCTTGAGGAGGGTTGTGTAATATCCTTCCACAAATTAAAGATTGGTAGATGTTTATCAAATTCAAATTGGTCATGAGAATGAAAAGCTTAGGATGTAGGGATTTGGTCAAGAAATCACCAACTTGACTGTGAGATGGAACAAGAAGGAGTTTCATCACGCCTCATGAATTCTCAAGAACAAAGTGACAAATTATTTTCAAATGTTTGGTTCTTTAAATAATTTGGATTGTAAGCTATCTAAAGTGCATTTTCGTTGTCAAAATAAAGAACATTTGGTTTTAGGCTGGTTATTGAATATCACAAAACATGCATTTTAGGCGGATTACTTGCAAATCACGAAATATGTATAAGAGCCATTAAATTTCATATGTTGCAGAGAAAAATGCTCTATAGTCAAGGTCATAAGATGATCTAGAGATGGTTTGTTGTTTCTTGGTTCTCTATGAAATAAGTGAAAATCCATTGAAGAAGCAAGAGCTTGAAATAGATCTTATTAGGTCAATCTACCCGACTTAATATACATTTGAGAAGACAAGTAGAAGGATGAAGGAATCTCTAAGAAATAACAATTCTAGACCAAGATGATGCTTCATGTATCTTTGAACTCCGGAGACATAATTGTAATGAATTATAGGTACTTTGTAGAAACATTGACTTAGTTGTTGAGTGACAAATGTGATATCAAGCTTAATAGTGTTTGAGATAAAGTTATCTTTTGATGATTATTCTTTAGGATGGAATTTTATCATTGGCTTGACCATCATCATTTTACAACTTAATAGAAGAATCATAAGGTGTTGATATTAGTTTTGATCCAAGTAAGGCTAAGTCAACTTCTTGTAATTAATTATGAAGAAATATATTGTTTAAATTTAACTTATGTCAATGGAATTTTGGAATTGACACAAAAATAGTTACAAACCTAATTGTTCTGAACTTTGCAATTGGTGAATATGTGTGTTCAATATGGTTGTATCCTTTAGCAATCAACGGTCATCAATCTCTTATGCTACCATTTGTTTTATGTTTTATTTTATATATTCATATGCATCTTATTCATACTTCCAAACATGCATGCACATAAATACTTCACTCATGCATTATTTCCTTTCAATGATTTTGGAAAAATCATAAACGAAACCTGGAATATACTAAGAGTCATCATCATCTTTAATCTTAGTTTTATGGACACACACAAATAAAGTACACATAATCATTCATTGTTTGGGTGCCATCTAGAATCAAGTTGATAAGATTTAATTTAGCTTTTGGTATGGTAAATTAGGTTGATATCTTAGAGGGGTTTCAAATAAGGAAACTAAGGTGGGGTTTTCCTTCAAGATCAAAGTATGGATTTGAAGGTTTTGAACAAGATTACTCAAGTTGGATTCGATAGAGTGAAGGCTTTGAATGATTGCGGTTCTTGCATAGGAGTAGCATGAGATAATGGATCATCTTGGTAAATCTTAAGTTACAACATTTCACAATTTTATTCGATTGAGTGAAGGCTTTGAAGAGCCGCGGTTCTTGCAAAGAAGTAACTTAAGTCGGTGAACCATATTGGTATTGTTGGGTGACAATAACTTACAATTTAGATTTGATCGACTGAAAGCTTTGAAGAACGAAAGTTTCTTATAGAGGAGTGGTGTGGGAGGGTGAATCAAATTAACATTGTTAGTTACTTGATCAAGGGAAGAGTAAGTGTCATAATCAACATCAAACTTAGAGTTTGTAGGGTTGGATTGCTACATTTCTCTTGTATATGTATTTTCAAAGTAAAGTTAATTTCATTATATGAATTCGAATTTGAATTGAGGGCTGACATATCCATAACAAGACCGGTTGGATAACTGCCTAAACAAATTCTTGCTCTCTCTCTCTCTCTCTCTCTCTCTCTCTCTCTCTCTCTCTCTCTCTCTCTCTCTCTCTCTCTCTCTCTCTCTCTCTCTCTTACATTTTGTTTGCAAATTATTGAGTTTATCATTTTTGCAATTAATTCATTTGGTAAATTCTTTTGAAAATTATTTGAAAAGAGTTTTGTTAAATTTATCACAATCATGTTAGACGATAGACTTCAATCTAGAAGGGGTGAATATATCAAAAATTTAAAACCAAAATGTTTGGCAAAGTTTTGTTTTCAAAAATATATGGCACAGCGTAAATAACCCAAATTGGATCGTCCGTCTGAACTTACTATCAAAAAGCTCGGACATGTGTAACTTAAACTGATGGAATGATAATGAACATAAATTGTTCAATAACAGTTAATTCACAGATCAATCAAATGCAAAGTTATTTGTAAATCTTATTTCTAATGAACACAAAGCGATCAAAATATTCAAAGACAATTTATTGAACACTTGTGTGCGATCGATCATATTTGGAAATTTAATTTGTTTTGTTGATGTTAAAAGACAATCACAATCAAAGTTATTATGATTATATCAACAAAAACACTTTAAAAGATAACTGAAAACAATTTCTAATTGAATTAATCAAAACAACAACGAAATCGATAATTTGCAATAACAAAAATTAAAGATATAAAGCAATAAAGATAAAGAGATACCAAGATTTGTTTAGGCAGTTCCCCAATCGGCCTCGCTATGGATATGTTTGCCCTCAATCGGAAATTGAATTGAGATACTTGCAATTAACCTTATCTTTGCAAAAATGTTTATGCAAGAGGTGAAGAACTCTAACCCCACAAACCCTATGGTTCGTTGTTGATTCAACGACTTCCAAACCCTTGATCAAAGTTTGATCAAGTCACCAGCAATGCAGCTAAATTCCACTTATTATCCTGAGCATGCAATTGTTGAACCCAAGATTCTCGAACACGATTCACCGTCTTGCAGTACTTCTTTTTAAAGAAGCCACCTTGTCCCAAGGCCTTCACTGGGTCGAATCTGTGTTGACGTGATCTTATCCAAAACCTTCAAATATATCAAGTGGATCATCAATGTTGTGGGGGACGATAATTATGGTTACTGAGCCATTTTGGCTTTACTCGATAAAGGATAAGATAGTCATGCACATGTCTGACATCAATGTATCCAGGAGTTGAATATGCATAAAGAATCGTACATGTGGTTGTATGGAAATAAAGAAACATTCAATGGGGTTTATGAATCTATTGTTCCTTGCTTGAGCGGGCCGACACCGGATGCAAAATGGATGAGATTCTCTAATATGGGTCACCTAATAGCATGTGCATATGATAGAGTGTGTATTGACCTGACACGCTACGAATTTTCAGAAACCTTTTTTCCACTATGCATCACACCCCCTAAAATCCAAATTATCGTATCATGTGTATTGGATGGATTTCAAGATCAAGTCATTTTGTTCAAGTTTACTTGAAACTAGGATGCTCCATACCGCTTACATCACCAGAGTGGATGGCTCATTAAATCGTAAAAGCTGAGATGTGGCCGGATCATTTTATGGAAAGAACGCAAGAATTCGAGAGATTGAAAAACATTGAAAAAATAATCGAATGCACAAAAGTCCAAAGGGGTAACGCCTTTAGATTTAGTAGGCGACACATGTTTCGATTATTTTTTATTTCTTGTTTAACTAGACAAATAATTATATATAATTGTATCTCAATATAAATGAAATGTTGCATTCACCTTTTATTCATATTTGGTCTTTATGCATATTTGGTTCATATTTGGTCTTTATGAAGTCTTTGTTATATGGTTCTGTTTTGGAAATGGTTCAGGAAAAGTTCCAGATATACATCTTTGGAAGGTTCTGTTATAGTGTTCTTTTTATAAAGTAGTTCAGGAGAAGTTCTAGAGGTACATCTCCAGAACAAGATAATAGGGTGCGGTTCCGGAGACAGATATCTGGAATCAACATGATAGTTAATGAGTGGTCCATATTAAGCTAGGTCTTCTATAAATTTAGGTGTTCTTGTGTTATATTTCACACAAACTCAAAATTTCCCAAATTTCACAAATAAACATCCATTGGTATGTCACAAATATCTCCTACTCCGACGGCTATACACTCGGGAGGACATTTAAGCTCACTGATCTCACTCCCTCAAAGATATCAAAGACGAGATCTATTGTCTCCTACCTTACGGATTCAAATGAAGGATTGTGAAGATCGAGTATCGTTCATCTTTGGTTGACAATGAAGGGAACATTGTGTTCAGTAAATTTGAGATCAAGACTCGAGCGAATGTTAGGGCTAAGTGAGCTACATATTTCGGTTTTAAAGAGAAAGTTCCATTCGAGTTGGAAGTTACACTACAAAGATTGGTCGAAGGATCCTGAAGATGTGCAAGCATCCACCAGGATATTGACATGTAATATTTAATTTTCTGTTGAAATCATCATTGTCATGATCATTTTATGTTATGAATGTCAATTGCATTTTGGAAAGTTCATTTTCTGTTGAATCTGTTTCTGGTGTTTTTCTGGAGATGTGACTATAGACTTGTTCCAGAGATGCATCTCCGGAACAAATTAAACTCAATATATAGGGTGCC